ACTTGTCTGCTAAGCAATATTTGGTGTGCAAGCTTTAGAGGAAAACTGATGACAAAATAAATAAATAAATAAATAAATAAATATTCAATTTCAAAACTCTATCAGCAAGAAAAAAGTCTGTGAAATTTTATCCATGTTTATCTATTCATGCTGATGGTTAAGTGAGTATATGGCCACTTCATAAACGCCAATACCACAGAACTCTGGGACTGTACCTACTTATAGAAAGGACTATCCTTTTTCTATTCTATTTCTTTTGTGGTAGTCTCAAGTGAGGAAAAATATTTTAAGCTTCTTGGGGAACTCAAATAATAAATAGAAAAAAATATTTTCAGTTTCTAAGTTAAAAAATATTTGAACCTATTTCCTGAAGACAATGTAAGTAGCTTCCAACTATACTGAATATTTGGCCTAGACGGGTTTTCTCCTCCATTTCTTTACTTGTTACAGAATCTCTGAAATAGACAGGACCATGGCAGTCGTACACTGTGTACAATACAGGAATATGCTTCTAAGATCTCTGGCAGGTGTTCATACAGCCTTTACTTAACTGTTTCTAGCAATGGGAAGTTCATTACCTTTAAAAGAAGTCTGTCCCATTTTTAACACTTTTGAGTACAAATTGTTAGTTTTTTTCTTATATTAAGGCAATATTTGTTTCCCATTCACCTACCAATTCTGACACTGCCCACTGGAGCAGAATTACATAGTTCATGTAATTCCAATGAGGAATTTATAAAGGCAAGGATAGAACCATTCATTCCATCTCATTTAAAAATTAATCATAATGACAACAGCTACAATTTACAGTCATTAAAAAATCCCCATTTTTCTCAAAATCGATACTGGAGCAAATGATTTTATGGCCTTTCTAGTAAACTACATTGTTTCAGACTTGTAGTTTTAGCCCATAGCAAAAAAAGTCTTTATTTTAGTTCTAGAAAAAAAAGTAATATGACTGTACTGGTGGTGGGAACGCAAAATGGTATAGCCACTATGGAAAACGGTATGGAGGTTCCTCAAAAAATTAAAAATAGATCATATAATCCAGCAATTCCACTTCTGGGTATTTATCTGAAGGAAATGAAACACTAATTTGAAAAGACATGTGTACCTCTATGTTCATTGCAACATTATTTATAATAGCCAAGATATGGAAGCAACTTAAGTGTCCATCAATAGATGAATGAACAAAAAAGATGTGGTACATAGTATATACAATGGAATATTACTCAACCATAAAAAAACAATTAAATTTTGCCATTTGCAGCAACATGGATGGACCTAGAGGTATCATACTAAGTGAAATAAGTCAGATGGATAAAGACAGATACCATATGATTTCGCTTATATGTGGAATCCAAAAAACAACACAAAGGAACAAACAAAACGAAACAGAAACATATTCATAGATATAAAAAACAATCTGGTGGTTGCCAGAGGGAAAGGGGTGAGGAGTGGGCAAAATAAGGGAAGGGGATTAAAAGGTATAAACTTCCAGTTATAAAATAAATGAAAAACAAGGATGCGATGTGCAACACAGGGAATAGTTAATAACATTGTAACAACTTTGTATGGTGACAGATGGTAGCTAGATTTATCATGGTGATCATTTCAAAACGTATATAAATGTTGAATCACTAGGTTGTGCACCTAAAACTAATATAATAGTGTATGTCAGCTATACTTCAATTAAAAAAAAAAAGAAGAAGTAATACGAGGCATTTGAAGATAAAGGACAAAACTTTGACCCTCAACTGTGGCCTCCCAATTAGTGAGAAATGATTTTTTTGGTTACATATCTTGATGTAGAACCAGAAATCTAACCTATAGAACACTTCAAAGGATGAATTAAACTTTAAAGGGCAATAGGTAAAAAATGAAGGTGGGGAAATTAGAGGGGGAGACAAACCATGAGACACTATGGACTCTGAGAAACAAACTGAGGGTTCTAGAGGGGAGGGGGTGGGGGGATGGGTTAGCCTGGTGATGGGTATTAAAGAGGGCACGTATTGAATGGAGCACTGGGTGTTATATGCAAACAATGAATCATGGAACACTACATCAAAAACTAATGATGTAATGTATGGTGATTAACATAACATAATAAAATTTTAAAAAATAAAAATAAAAGATATGGACAAAAGGTAAACTTTTTTATGGGACATTACAGAAAAGTCCTAAATTTCTGTTCCCAAATTCATTGATCTATGGACTGAAAAAGCACAGCTATTTTATAGACTGAGCCATGTAAAACTCTGAGTTCATCTAAGAAAAGTAACAAAGCAGATGCCCAGTGTGTGTTATTATTTTTTTGCTGTGCTGATGATTACTTGCTATTTCATAAGAGGAAATAGACCTGTGGTGAGTTTCATGGCTATTGATCATCTCCAAGAATGGAATATGCAATATATACAGTGTTTTCTGCCTTCCCAAGACTAAGGGTGGTGTCTTCCTCCAGAATGAAGATTACACTAGAGATGCATGAAATGGAAATGCTAAAGAGATCCTGGAATTGCAAACCCTAACCTCTCCATCTTCAACCCATAAGCATGAATTTTGAAATTAGTTTTTTCTGAGTTAGCCAAGTTTGTAGGTTTTTGGAACCACCTTTACCACCCCACCTTCAAACATAAAATTATTATTCTATACTATACAACAAAAAAATCCCAATTATGTTCCATTAAGAGATGTATAGTTTTGACAAAGAGCAACCATTACCTATGGTGAACAACGGGAATTCCTCAAAGTAGGCCAAGCCACCTTCTCCTTCCCACCCCAAGAGAAAAACCAGTGTATCAGCTCCTCTTAACTGGCTGACCCCTTCAACCTCTTGAAATAACCACTTAGCAAAAAGTATGTAGAAGTCCTTTGTGGATTACAAAGAACCATGTAAACCCATTTGTGTTCTTCCTCTAATTTATAGTCCCAGGAAAAGATTATAAAAACAAAAAACAAAAAACATTGTTTACATTGCCCAGGGGACTGGCCGAGTCTCAGCTTGCCAGGGCCTGGCTGGCAAGCGGAACCAGAGAGTCTTCAGCACTAGTGGCAATGGCAAGTGAAAGCACTACCAAGGCTTCAGTTGGGGCCAGCTGCCTGGTCCCTCACAAACCCCTCAACCATGAGGTTGGATTCGCCCCTAAGTGGGAAAGCAGACCCCACCCAAAGAGACCACAAATGAACCCTCACTGAGTTACTACCCCCAGCCGCCCTAAGAATGACAATAAACCTGACTTACAGGGAGGAAGCATCCCCAGGCTCCTGTGCCAAACATCAGGAAAACATTTGGGTTTGTAGAGGATGCCATGAATGGTTGGCCCTTCAAGCAGCAAGGCAGCCAAACTAGTTTGGTAGCAGGCCATTACTATGGGTCTGATCTTCCCTAACTAGGGAGTTCAAAATATACATGGGGATTTTGACTTTCAAAACACCATTCTGAAGAATGGTGTCATTATTATACAAACATGAGGCTTTTTATTTAAAATATAACATTGTCTTCTGTGTCGGCAATAAAGATTGAATATATGCCAGATTGATTAGCTGGATTCTTCAGGATCCGTGGTTCATAAATATTCCTCCAGGAAGGCTGGATATCAGTGCAGAAGACCAGGCTCCCCACCTCCCAGAGGAGGTAAGGGAGATGAGAGAAAGCCAAGATCCAGTCCGCCCTGCCTTTGTCTGAGCCAGAGCAGTTTCACTTTTGTCTGCTTTATCTATTGGTGTATAGGCAAGATTTAGTTTAACAGAAGTTCTACTTTAACAAAAAGCTTACAAGAAACTCAGGTACATTTTAAGTTCCTGTGGCAAGTTCACATAAGCTTGTTTTGCCCTCTCTTTTAATTCTAGAGCCAGGAAAATTGTGTCCAAAATAAAACTAAACCAAAACCTATTTGCCAAGTAAAGAGGTCTAATTTGCAAATATCAAAAGAAATCTGATTCATGATGTGCCATCTGGGCAATTAGAATCACATGAAAGATGGACATTTAGTTCATTCTGTCTCAGTGTAGTAATTCTATAAGAAACAGAATTGATTGTTCTGGTCTCTCCAGGATGATAGGAGAGGAAGCCCCATCACACTAGTACTGTTAACAATTCTAAATTCCAAGGCTTCAGGATGCACTTAATACTAAAGTTGTTTCTTCACAGACTATGTAAGATCCTGGAAAGGGTACTCAGAGAAAGTAAACTAACATTTATTTAGGATCTGATCTATGTCAGGTGATATTCTAAGCACAATTCATACATTATCTCATGTAATCCTCAAAGAATCCTTATAACAAAGATACTATTAAGCCTACTTTACAAATAGATAAACTGGGCCCAGGAGGCTTAAATAACTTGTCCATAGCTACACAACAGGTCTCCTGGGCTCTCTGAGCCACTTGAACTCTGCAGGGAATAGATCTGAGTTTGAATCCTGATTCAACCCCTTACTGCATGAATGACTTGAAGCAAGTCATTCCCCACTCCAAGTCTCAGTTTCCACATCAGTAAAATGAGGAGCCCTTTCCAGACTTGAAACCCCTTTGATACTCAACCTGATGTTACAATGGAAGCTGTTAAGCAAAAGAGCAAACACTTGAGCCACGCTGCACATAAAAACTATGCAGATTTGCTAAAAAGATGAAGAAAATTTAAAACATGATGTTCTTTTAATTAATATTCTTAGCAGCCTCCAAACTAAGTGAATATATAAGGAAAGATTAAGTTTGTGCATAGACAAGATCCTTGACTACAGGTTTCTGAGAACTCGAGAATTAACACAAAGTATATGGTGCATTGAGTTAGTGCTAAGGAGTTTGAGGCAGAGTCCAGAGACACACTGGAATCCAGAAGGATCTGTTAGGTCAGGAATTGTTGGGGAAGTTTCATGAAGATGTTGAGACATATAGATTTGCCAGGTGTGAGGAGAGGAGAGGCTTCAGGAGCTGGGTAGAACTGTGAAGATAGCCAATTTCCCTCTAAAGCTAGGCCACTCTGTGTTTGATTTGCACAGACAAGCCCACGGGGTATGGCTCCAGCAGTCGGAGGGCACCTCAGACAGGCATCGTGGACGAGTGCTGCTTCCGGAGCTGTGATTTGAGGAGGCTAGAGATGTACTGCGCACCCCTCAAGCCTGCCAAGTCTGCCCGCTCAGTCCGTGCCCAGCGCCACACCGACATGCCCAAGGCTCAGAAGGTAAGCCCGCTGGTGGGGAGGGATCCACCATCCTCAAGATATTGAGGATACCTGTGGGTAGGCCAAACAAATTATGCCCCACAATCTCCCGGCTTACAGGTCAAAAAAAGCAGCATTCTCACCTCAGACGTCCATCCCTTTGGTCACTCCATATTGCAAATTCTTTCCACTGTTCTGGACTATCTGATGCCAGAAGACAATGGAGAACAGTCACTAAACATGAGCTTTGGTATCAGACAAAACTGAAGTCCTAGCTTCACCAGTCACCGGCTGAGAGCCCTTGGCCAAATAACATAATCTATCCAAACCTTAGTTTCATCAGTAAAATTGGGATAATAATACCTTCTACATCAAGTCATTTTAAGAATTAATAAATACACATGCAATTCTTTTCACATCCTGCACAAAGTAACTGTTGGACAAGTGTTAACATCTTTCATAATTGTAATTAATAACAAAGCATGTAACTTTTCAAGTCCTGGTATTCTGCAAAGTTGCAAAGAAAAAAAATATGCTAAAATGGGAACTATTTGAAATTCATGTTCAATGGCAAACTTATTAAAGAAAAAACCCATTAAACATAGAAATTTGTGTTTGGCTCTAAGAATACCTAGAAATTTCTAATGATCAAAATCTGTAGGTGTCTTTTTCTATGAACTAGACTTCAAACAAACCTTAGAGCTACTATCTATGCCATCAAAAATACAGAAATCATCTGATGCATATTAGTCACTTGATAAGTTTTGTTGAATGAGTGAATAAATGAGTGAACAAATGAGAAGTGATTAAATTTTAGTCCTAAAGTAGAAAGAATGAGAACTGAAAAATAGGGGATAGGCGAAGGAGAAAAAAGAAAGTGAGGAAGGGTGGGTAAGGAAAGTAAAGCCCAAGTAGGTCTCCTTGGGGACACTGTTTAAAAAACAAAATGAAAAAACAAAAACAAAAAACTGTGGTTTTACTCTTTGGAGCCAAAACTAGCACTGTGCAGAAAGCATAAGAAGAAAAACCAAGAAGTTCACAGTGACACATGTGCTGCTTCCTGGTCCTACACTGCAGCTGAACCTGGAGGAGGACCAGGAGCTTAGTGGAGAGGTGAACCCAGGGAGTCACCATGAATGACGGAAAGGGCTTAGGCATAATCTGGTGCACAGAGAACACAGTAGCCAGTGGGTAAGTCAGGGAGCAAGCATCATGGAAGTAACTTAGGTGAATGTGGTTGAGAAGTGTGCTTGAGGGGACAAACGCAGGTCAATTCTTTCTCTTCCCAGGTGACCCAGTGTCTCACAATTTCTAGCTCGAGAGGGGGTGGGGATCAGAGATGAGTCCCAGAGTTCTAGAAATTTGGGTCTTGTGACTGAGGCCTAGACATCCTTCCAGCACCAATGCTGTCTCCTATACCACATGGAGCCCGGGCATTCTGGGCTAACTCAAAGGCTCTGTCTTCTGGGACACACCAAGGGAACCACCTGTTCTCAATGCAATTATTTTTGTGATGTTTGCAGTATCATCCCCCATCTACCACCAAGAAAACGAAGTCTCAGAGGAGAAGGAAAGGTGGGCCAAAGAAACGCCCAGGAGGGGAACAGAAGGTGGGGACGGAAGCAAGTCAGCAGATGAAAGGAAAGAAGAAAGAGCAGAGAAGGGAGACTGGAGCTAGAAACTGAATGCAGAGGCAAAAAAAAAAAAAAAAAAGGAAACTGGAGGAGAGAAGGACTAAGCAGACAGAGGCAAGGACGATGAGAGAGAAGCAGACAGCAATAAAGAAAAGTGGGAAGTGCTATAGAGGAATGAAGAACAGTAGGCCTGGTGGAGCTAGATAATGCATGTGATGGAAGGAGAATGAACCTGTTGTAGAATGTGGATAACAAACATGGAGAGAATGAAAAGAAAAATATAATGCCCAAAGAAGTCTAAAGAAAAACAGTGGCAAGAATGAAAAAAAAGAACACAAATTATAAAAGAGGCAAATAAGACACTACATTATGCCCCCCCCCCACAAAAAAACAAATAAGAGTAAAAGAATTAAGATAAAAACCAAGGCTTTTTTAATGCATTTTAAAATTTTGTGTGAAGCTATTATAGAAGAATTGGCCATGTCAATGTATGTCCAGAGTTAAATATTAGCCCAAAATTCTCAGCAAGACTGAATTGTGTCATAGAAGTTCCCAGATTTCCTTTCCTGCAGTGTCACGGAGGCTAGGTTTCTTAGTCAAGTCCAGGTTCAGGCCAAAGGGCACTGAGTATTTGCCTAAAGGCCTGTGAGGCCAGTGAGGTAACCTACAAGAGGAGGTCGTTGAACCTTTCCTTTTTTTTTTTTTTTTTTTGCACTTTGGAATCAGATATAGAAGATGTATTAGTTGTATTGGTCTGATTGGGCTGCCATAACAATATACGACAGACTGGGTGGCTTAAGCAACAGATATTTTCACACATTTCTGGAAGCTTGAAGTTCAGATGAAGGTGTTGACCTCATTTTAACTCAATTACCTCGGTAAAAACCCTATCTCCAAATAGGACACATTTTAGGTACTGAGAGTCAGGATTTTAACATATGAATGGCCAAGGAGAGACATAATTCAGCCCATAACAGAAGACTTCTGATGTCTGATTACTGCCTTCTAATCCTATCTCCTGTAAAACTCTGTGTATATGCCTATCTCTGTCACACACACACAACACGCACACGCACATGCACATGCACACACACAAATCAAGTTTTTCAGATATGAAATCCTGTGAGTTTCTGTTCCATGGAAACACTTCGACAAAAAGCCTCTGAAGTTGATTGGTTCAATCCCTTCATTTTAAAGAAAAGAATACTGAGATCCATAAAAGGGTAAAGGCATGCTTGAGTTCTAAGCTGCCCTCCTTCTGGCCAGCAGAGAAGAGCCCATAATCAACATGGACTAAGAAAGAATTCTGAAAGGAAAAGATGGGGCAGAAATAGACGGCACATGAAATCTTCCATTAACTTAATAGTTTTCCACCAGAAGGAAGGGCATGAATGAGAGCAAGGGGCTGGATTTCTCTGAAGGTAAAAAAAGCTAAGTAGAATCACAGAATTTAGGTCTTGTAAATCTTCTCCTTCAGCTTCTTTGATTTAATTAGTAGACTTAGCATCTTCATAGATATAGAACAAAAAGTCTCAAGATCATCCAAATTGTGAATTCTAAGAGCTGAGAGAGGGTGTAGGAGAGCAGTGGTCACCCAAGCAAATGATGACACTTGGGGTAAGAAGATGACTAAACCAAGAAGTGAAGTATTTCATCCAAGTAACCTACTTTGAAGATGTCATGGTATAAAGGAACCTCCTTTCCACCTGGTCCTTCATGTCCCTGCTGTTTCTACTTCAGGATCATCCTTTCTCTATGGTGCAGTGAAAACCCAGGATATATAATAAATATAACATAACAAAACATATAAGGCCATGCCCAAGCCTCAATTCAGGAGGAAAAGGTCCAGTCAGAAATATGTCAAGCCCCAGATGGGAGCTAAGCCACTTCTGCTGTGGTTGCAAAAGCCTGGCCTATCTGAATAGACAAGGGTAGGCTGGTGCCTAAGCCCATCTAGACAGTCACCTTATTCAGGAGATGCTGAGTTCTTCTACTAAGACATCCATGCTTTGAGACCAGCCTCAGGCATAAACCAATGTTTATTGCGACCACCACCTGAGAGTAGCCTGCAAATACAGATGGTTCTTCAAGTTCCACAGAAGAATTAATAATTCATGTCCTATGGAAAAGTTCCTTAGAGAATTATCTCTTCCCTATTTATTGTTGACTGCGTAAATGTCAATTATGACTCAAGGCTTTGGACAAACTATAATAATACTCTATGATAAGCTTCATTCAAAAGAAGTGAGGCAAAGACTTTAAAAGAAAAAAAAGGAATGGGACTTCCTAGTTAAAGAATGCTTAACTCTCACACTGTGGATTAAAATACACTTCTTTTTGGAATGGGTTTTATCAACTCTAAAGTAGTCATCTTGAATGCCTACATATGATTTCTGAATAATATGAACTAAGTAAATAGGAAGAACCTATTATTGTCTTTCCATCTCCTCCTTTCTAGTGTCAATACACAAGTACCTAGTGATACATGGCATATAATGCTAGATGGATGGGTGGGTGGATGGATGGATGGATGGATGGATAGATGGATGAAATAGATGGACAAATAAGTGAGACAGGAAGCTGAATAGTGGTAGAGAAAGACAGACCATAATAATAAGTAGCATTGCTGAGATGAAATGATTCCTCTCATCCTTGCATAGGACAATAAGGCAAGGACAGAGTAAGAAAAAGGAGGGCAAAGGAGATGCACTGACAACAAGCCTCGCATTGCATGTTTAGAACTTCCTTCTGGAGCTTAAACTGAAATTGTTCAAGGACCCACTGCTAAAGGTGGCAACTGGCTGAGTAGTACTTTATAGTGAATGTTATGTACCTATTTCTCTCCTCAATGCTTTCTTGAAGTGTGCAGAGTATTAATCATCATTTAATATTCTGTTTCTACCATATCTTGGTGCCAAACGATGACTGTAAAACTAATGGGAAGATGGAAGGAATCATGATCCTGAAATCAAATTGTCGAAAAATATTTTTATTGAGCACCTACAATGTGCCAACCTCTGTACTAGGCATGAAGGAAAATTATAAAGATTGAAGGGGCAGTAAAAGATAGCAGTTAAGAATACAGACTCTAGAGTCATGCTGCCCGGGTTCAAATCCTGACTCTTACTTACTGGTTGTGTGGCCTTGGGCAAATCATGTCATTTACCTGTGCCTTGGTTTTCTCGTCTGTCAAACAAGGGTACAATTGACTCTACCTCCTATGGTTGTGAAGATTTATTGACATAATATCTATATAAATGTGTATGTGAGCATGTGTGTACAAATAACATATCATATTGCTTAAAATGGTTCCTGGCACATAGTAATCACTATTAGAGTTTTAGTTAATATTATTTTATCTAGTTCTGGAAATTAGAGCCATCTGAA